GAGGCAGAGGTTGCAGTGAGCCAAGATTGTGCCACTGCAGTCCAGCCTAGGTGACAGAGTGAGACTATGTCTCAAAAAAAAAAAAAAAAAAAGGGAAAGAAAAAAAGAAAAAAGGTTATTTGGTACACACTTTGGCAGACTGTACAAGAATTGTGTGCCAACGTTGGCTTCTGGTGAGGGTTTCACAAAGCTTACAATCATGGTGAAATGCAAAGAGTAACTGAACATACCACATGGCAAGGGACAGAGCAAGTGTGAAATAATGAACCAGTTCTCATTTAAATTAACAGAGGGTAAAGTTTTTGATTACCAAGAGGTTGATGTCAAGCTGTAACACCTCCCACCAGGTTCTGCATCCAACATTGAGGACTGCATTGCAGCATAATATTTGGGGATTGTGAGCATTTAGGTTATATCATAGACCAACAAGGCTTGACAGACACGTAAAAAATTTCCAGTTAAAAGCAAGAAAATACACAATATTCTTATTTGCACCTGGCGTATTCTGTTAGGATACACAACAAGTCTTATTAAGAATACCAGGTGGGTGCTGTGGCTCATGCCTATAATTTCAACACTTTGGGAGACCAAGATGGGAGGATCTCTTCAGGTCAGAAGTTTGAGACCAGCCTAGGCAACATAGTAGTACTCTGTCCCTACAAATAATCAATAAATTAGCCAGGCATGGTAGTGTATCTCTGTAGTCCCAGCTACTCAGGAGGCTGAGGTGAAAGGAGCACTTGAACCCCGAAGGTTGAGGCTGCAGTAACTGCACTCCAGTCTCGGTAACAGAAAGAGATCCTGTCTCAAATCGACAACAACAACAACAAATAAATGCAAGAAAATAAAAATTATACACCGAATGTTTTCTGACTAAAACTGAATGAAATTGGAAATTGAGAGCACAAGTAAAACTGGCACATCCAAATATATATGAAAATAACACATACTCTTCAACATAGTTTTACTCAAGGGTCAAAAAATTTAATTTTTCAAAGATGTCTATACAACTTATAGTGATGAATACATTCAATATAATTTCTATAAAAATCCCCAAAGCACAATTTTTACAAGAATATTGTTTAAAATTTTTTAATTTGATTATAAACTAGAGCCAAACACTCATGAAAAAGAACAAGGAGGTGTTATATATCTGGATTTTAAAATATATTAATAGCTACAAATATAAGGTGGTACTGACACAAACACAGATAAACAGATGAAAAAACAGAATAGACAGCCCAGAAATACACTCTTTGGTATATGATTAAATAATCTTTTACAACGTTGCCATGAGCACACAATAGAGAAAAGACAATCTCTTCAAAAAATCATGTTGAAAACTGGACACCAACACTGATAAAGCTGGATTCTTTCTTTGTATCATATACAAAAAATATTTTAAATAAAATACTTAAACATATAAAAATTACTAACAAATCTCTTAGGAAAAAAAGAGAAATGACGTGATGTTGGTCTTGGCACCATTTTTTTTTGATATGACATTAAATGCATGAACAACAAAGAAAAAAGTAACTACACTACACTTCAAAATTTCCACACGTCAAAAAAACATTAGAGTGATAATACCTTGTAGAAAATAAGCAAAAATATTTGCAAATTATATGTGATAAGAGTTAACTGTAGGGAGCTAAAGGCCCGAGGGTCATGACCAACTCAGCATTCCACTGAAGGCTATGTGATCAAACAGCAAACTGTTTATCATGAGTGCAGGATGGTAGGCAAATTCACATCTGTGCCTGACTCCAGAAGGTTTGCTGAGGGCAGTCACTCCCTGGTGCCGTGCCGTGCTCCTTGAGGTTATCTACTGGAATATCTGGAGACTACTGTTCAAAGAATGCAGTCGTGCAAGCCTGCCCTAAGTGACTGACAACCACCCCCTTCTCCCTTCTCCCTCTCTCTCTTACTCAATAAATACCAAGGGCTATAGAAGTTCAGGACCCTTGTTCACTAGAAGCAAGGAGCCCCCGACCCCTTCTTCCAAATATACTCTTTTGTTTTTGTCTTTATTTCCGTATTCATCCTCCTTTGTTCAGTCAAGCAAGGTCCATGGCAGTTAATACTGAGAAAATATAAACAAGTCTTAAATGGACTAATAATTGAAATTCGTTTTCATCAAAAAAAATACAAAAATGGGAAAAAGCGTTTGAAAGGACACAGGAAATTACATTTGTACAGAAATGCATAAAAATCACGTGAAAAAATCAACTCAAACCAATTAGAATGGCCACTATCAATTTTTTAAAAACATTAAATCTGTTGATGAACTGAAAACCTGTTACCTGTTGGTGTAAAACAAGGATGCAGCCACTGTTTTTAAATGTTATAAATGTTACTCAAATAATTAAAAATGGAATTATTAAATACAACAATTCAATTTGTAAATCGATATGCAAACTCTGCAATGTAGGACCTAGAAGGCATATCTGAACACTGATGTTTACTGTACCAGTATTCACAAAACCCAAAAGACTGAAGCAACCCTTTCTTGACTTATAAATACATCAACAAATGTAACATATAAGTACAGTGGAATATTATTCAGCCTTAAAAAAATCTTGACACACTTTAAGACAAATTTTGATAATATTATGTCACCTGAAATAAGCCAGTAACAAAATGATGGATACTATATGATCTCATTTATAGGAGATATCTTAAGTAGTCACACTCAAAAACAGAAAGTTGAAGGATATTTGTCAAGGGCTGGAGAAAGGGTAAAATATTCAGCTGTTACTTAATGGATATTGAGTTTTAGTTTTACAAGATGTAAAATTTTCAGAAGTCTTTTGCATAACAATGTGAATATACTTAACATGCCTGATATGTGCAGCTTTTTTTTGAGACAGGGTCTCATTCTGTCATGCAAGGCAGAGTGCAGTGGCACAATTATGGGTAAGTGTAGCCTCAAATTCCCAGACTCAAGTAATCTTCCTCCCTCAATCTTTCAAAGAGCTGGGACCACAGTTGCACCCAACCACACCTGGGTTTAAAAAAAAAAAAAAATTGTAGAGAGGGAATCTCCATATGTTGCCCAGGCTGGTCTCAAACTTTTGGGATCAAGCAATCCTCCTGCCTTAACATCCCCAAATTCTGGGATTACATATGTAAGCCACAACCATGCCTGGCCCTGAAATGTACACTTCAATAGACTTAAGATGGTAAATTTTATGTTATGTGTTTTTACAATTAATTTTTCTCAAAATAAATCTGAAAAAATACAGAATCATAAATCTTTTCATAAATTATCTTCAAATCACAAAAGTATTTCTTTCACACAGAGCAAATATATATTCATCATTAAACACATGGTGAAAATAAAACTATTTCCATGACTACTCAATTAGACAAGATAAAACCACCACTGAAAATTAAGGAAAAAAAAAAGTGGCAAGAGGGTAGGCCAGGCACAGTGGCTCATGCCAGTAATCTCAGCACTTTGGGAGACCGAGGTGAGCGGATCACCTGAGGTCGGAAGTTTGAGACCAGCCTGGCCAACATGTGAAACTCCATCTCTACTAAAAATACAAAAATTATCTGGGTGTGGTGACATGCACCTGTAATCCCAGCTACTTGGGTGGCTGAGACTGGAGAATTGCTTGAACTTGGGAGGCAGAGGTTGCAGTTAGCCGAGATCATGCCATTGCACTCCAGCCCGGGAGACAGAGTAAGACTCCATCTCAAAAAAAACAAAGCAAAAGAAAAAGAAAAAAAAAAATCAACTAAGAAAGAATATATACAAGATAAGTCATAACCAAAATTGTGGTTATATTTATAGATAAACACACAAATATGTATACTGTCATTGTGATAGACATATGGCTGATGTATCTCTTAAGTAAATCCCACATTGACTTAAAATGTACAAACAGAATTGCAAATTGTCTGAAATTATAATACATATGTAAAATTAAAAAGCACAAGAAACTAATATTAAGAAACCTACACTAAAAAAACACACTAGTATGAACTGGAAAACAATAATGAGAGAAATGTTTACTCAAAATATGGTTTGCAGCCAGGTGTGGTGGCTCATGCCTGTAATCCCAGCACTTAGGGAGGCTGAGGTGGACAAATCACCTGAGGTCAGAAGTAGGAGACCAGCCTGGCCAACACGGGGAAACCCCATCTCTACTAAAAATATGAAAATTAGCCAGGCCTCGTGGCATGTGCCTGTAGTCCCAGGTACTCCGGAGGCTGAAGTGGTAGGATCCCTTGAACATGGGAGGCAGAGGTTGCAGTGAGCTGAAATCACTCCACTGCACTTCAGCCTAGGCAACAGAGTGAGACTGCATCTCCAAAAAAAAAAAAAGACTGGGCGCAGTGGCTCACACCTGTAATCCCAGCACTTTGGGAGGCTGAGGTAGGTGGATCATCTGAGGTTGGCGGTTCAAGACCAGCCTGACCAAAATGGAGAAACCCCGTCTCTACTGAAAAAAAAGTACAAAATCAGCCAGGTGTGGTGGCATATGCCTATAATCCCAGCTACTAGGGAGGCTGAGGCAGGAGAATTGCTTGAACCTGGCAGGTGGAGGTTGCAGTGAGCCGAGACTGCGCCATTGCACTCCAGCCTGTGTAATAAGAGCAAAACTCC